TTTCTAGGGGTTGTAAATTTGGAGAAAATCACTTCCCCATGGAATAGAAGCATCGAGAACTAACGTAGAAGTAGAGAAGCTGATCGTTGAGAGTACAAAATCCCTCACAAAATTGCTCAAAGCTTTTGTTGCCTTTTGAAGTCCGCAAGTAGAAATCCTGCGATATTTTTTCGAGAACCTGAAGTCAAAGTATTGAAAAGAAGAGTGGCGGTAGAGTATTCCTATTATGTCGAGTTGAATAATGTGGGACTAACTCGGTTATAAATATGCCTTCCCTCCTCCTGCAATTACCGCTAAAGGCTACTGATTCCACTGAATTCCTGAAGTGCTAAACACCTACCTGCACCGTTTCGTTCAAGTGCGACGCTTTCAGCAGATCATGTCCATCCTTGGCATAGATAAAAGCGTAGATAACGCTCGGTTCTCCCCGATTCGAAAAGAATTCACGGTATGTCTAAAGCAACACATAAGCGTCACCTTGAAAAAGATGAGCTCATCTCTCAAATACTTTTTTCACTTGATGATCTGGTTTCAGGAATGTATGAGGACGGGTTAGAAACCCGATTGAGACCAATTCTTAACGCCAACCACACTGTGACAAGACCTTTGGAATACTCCTCGGTAGGTATAAACAAGACCAATGGAATAATCCGATTAGTCGGTAGAATAGAGCTGGTCGTGAATGTCACCGATGCACCTCGAACAAAGCTCAAAAAAGCGTGACAAGGGCGCTAGGGTCCCACGATTCTCCCCGATTAGCAGCGCTCTGTGGCACCGGTTGGAGGAGTCCGCGACAGCCGCTTCCCTTTGCCCTCTCGTACAACGTGCTTTCTCGCATTGCTTAGGCCCTTGATTTTAGTGTTTTCCATGGTTTGTTTTGCGTTCTTTTTCCACTTCCAGCCCACACCGCACCTCCACCTTCATTATTGAGCGCTTTTACTCACCAGTTTTATGCCGGCTTCCCTTAACTCATGGTCAGAATTCTTGGAGCTTGGATCACATTTATAAGCGCAGGGAAAACAGCAGATAAATTAACAGCAAATTAGGCAAGTCAGAAATCGTAGCTCAATCTACTCTCATCAATTTGGACTTCCTTTTTAGTGTTATCCATGCTGAATCATGGTTATGCCTCGTGTCAAAGTGGAGTCACGCGACGATCTTAAAGGAAGCGATTACGATAAGGAATTTTCGCATCGGGGAGAACCTGCGCCACACGGAGCAATTACTTGGCTGCCAAGGAAGCGATGTGTGGCGCTTCCACGGCGAAAGGTGCTGTGGTTGCTGAGCAGGACCTGCAGCACTCCGCCCCCAGCAGCGTTACGCCCACTAGTTCAGTTGTTGATTTGGGCAGATC